ATTCCATCCTGATCCTAGTATAGTTAATTTTTAATAAAATTTATTTTGTTAATTTAAAGAGCTTTTTTTTATGAACGGATTTATATAAAGTAGAATTATAATACCATGATTAAAACATAATTAAATCAATTATTGTATGGATGGAATCAAAATAATAATAATAATAAATAAATAAAAATTAAAATAAAAAATAAACTCAACTCGTAATAATTTTTATTGATTGTGATGATTGTTCCGCTTTTAAAATCTATGCTGTAATAAAGTGATATGTTATAACCTTTCCTTAAAATTTGTAAAGAACCCAGATTAAGTCGCGTTAATAATACCATTAAAACGAATACAAAAAGATTTTTGATTAAAGAAGCCTATGTATGAATATGTGAAGATGAGATACTTCATGTTATTTTTTTATCGAAAAAATTTATTGGAATCACGAATCCATTATAAATAATAATAGTTATTTTATTGTGCCTACGCTTGTTAATTTGACAACAATTGTTTCCTATACCAGAAATTCTCTGATTATAATGTTTATGGAAAAGATGTTGGCAAAAAGATAATATTTAAATATGTTTTTTTTTTAAAAAAAAAATTTAACATTATTGATCAAATAAGCTACTTAAACTACTACACTACATTAAAAATTTTTAGTTTGAATGATCAGCCCCCCATGAGTCATCGTTAGATTCATCTCCCCATGAACTATTGTTAGCATTGGGGGGATTATCCCATGAATCATTGGGGTTGGGCGCGTCCCATAAACCGCTGTTAGAGGTACTAGCAAAAGCCCCCCGCCATAAAACGTTGTTGGCGTTGCCTAAAGCATCGCTCAAACCGAAACTAGAATAAGATGTATTCCATGAACTTTGCGGAGCAATCCATGTATCATTGTTAGACACAACACAAAATGAATCATTGTTATCATTTTTCGCAACCACCCATCCATCGGTCTGATCTTGATAAAACATTTCCATCTCATCGATGTTAAACTTAATTGCATCTAAAATGCTGCTATCATAATATTGTCGAATGCATGTCCCAGCATTACCATTAATAATTAAATCACTATTACCAAAATTCAATGCAATATTATTAAATCTCGATTCATATATTGCATTATTGGAATTTACAACTCGACTAATCTTTGGATTTTTCAAAGATTTTCCATCACCTAAGGAAAAAATAAAACTTTCCGAACTTTTAACCCAATAATTTTCATGTCGAATATTAACTCTATAACTTCCACGTCCACGTCCTCCACGCGCTCCCCGCCATTCACGAGAATAATTATTTGGATTGTGACCATTAAAATTCCAGCCAATAGGATTATAACCACCAATTATGGTTTCATTTTCTTTGATTTTAATAACTAAAATACACGCTCCATGTCCACTACATTTACTACGTATAGTGTTGTTATCGTATCCGTCTCTACTTCCACGATAGATAAGATTAAATTTATATTTATTATCAATTGGAATTCTTGCATTAGCATCTTTTCTTTGAATCCAGTTAGTAAGGATGGTCGCATGTTTTGACTTGATGATATTTGAATCAACAGAAATTTTACTGTAACGAGGAGCCAACATATCTTGCGGTTGAACATTTGCCATATGAAATGAAATAATGCTCTCAAAGAGTTTCTTAGGTAACACTTCCCTAAAAGGCCAGACGTTATCATGAAAATCTATTGAGGAAATTTCAAAGAATCGTATGTGAGAGATAAATTGATCCAAAGTATTTTTCAAAGCCAAGAAATCCGATTCACTCCAATTATCTAAATCAGTCGTCCTCTTTCCCTTCAATTCCAATGTTTGAGCGATTCCCCATTTGACAAGATAATTCCACAACTCAACTTCTTCGATTTGCAAAGCCTCCTCAAATAATCTGAGAAGAATGCTTTTGTCTAACGTTGGAAAATTTGGTGAGTTAAACAAAGTTTCGGGATTTTTACAAATAATTTCTAAACAATATTCTAGAAGCTTTTTACAACTTTCCGATTGATATGCTATGAGAAGAACATTTAAAAAGTTTTGCTGCAACCAGTCAACTTGCTTTTCAATTAAATACTGTTGTATAAAAATAATTAATTCATCAATAAGCAATTCATCGGATGCTACAAGAAGTTCGAGAATATCTGCGCCATTTTGTTTGTTCAAGTCAAGAATTCCACCGTACATATATCTAGAATCATAAAAATATATATATTTATTAGAGATTTTTTTTTTTTTTTAAAAAAAAAAAAAAATGGCTGACCACTGAAAAACAAGGAATTTATTTATTACCTAATAATCATTTCAAAGACAGTAGGAGAAATATTTGGTTTAGTAAAGTTAATCATATTATTTTTTTCTGAAACCCAATTTTTAGAGAGAGCACTTTTGAAGTAAGGTGATCGAGCTCTTAATATAATAGAATGTGCACGAAACTCTTTTGTATTCGGATTTTCTCCGACTGTAATAATAGTATTATAATCATCTGCTTCATCAAGCAAATGAGAAAGATTTTGTGACAAACTTGGAAAAAATTCGTAGACCATTTTTTAAAAAAAAGATAAGGAAAAGAAATTTTTTATCATAATTCAGTTCCATAAATGTTAAATTGTTGATCTTATGATGATGTCTATCATGGCAACGTTGTAGGCAGTGCAATCAGGTTTAGATTAAAACAAATTGCAGATCAATAAAGTTTGCTGTATCATAATTATAAATTAATTAATACGAATGGTTTCTGTGTGCAACGCAGGGATATTTCAATTGACGATTGATTTTGGACTAATTATGAACTTAATTTAAAATTGTGGAAATATTTTATCAGCAAAAAAGCTCGGTCACCTCTGGATTGTGAATCACATTTGTCACGTTCATATTATATCACTTAGGATTATTTAGGTGTTTTTAGGATTAGCTTAAGCTTAGAAATAGATTTGGCTTATAGGATCAGTTTTAGTTTATATATATATATTTTTTTTCTTTAAAAAAAATTTTAAGAATTTTTTTTTTAATTAAATTTTTTTTATAATAAATTAAATAAATTTAAAAATAAAATAAATATAATAATAATATTTAAATAATATTTAAAATATTTAAAATACTTATAATTAAAAAAGCAGTTGCTTTAAATGCTAAACTTAAAGTTATTATCTAAAATGAAAAGAAACTTAATTTTGCTAAACCAAAAAAATATGGTTTTCATAATTGTTTTTAAATTTCATTTGAGTTGTAACCTAATTGCAACATTAATAAATTTAATTGTAACATAAGTTACAATACAATTGTTACATTTTTAATTTCATATTTTACTTAAAAATTATATTTAATAAAAAAGTAAATTTTATTTATTATTATTTATTAAATTTTATAAAAATTTAACATTTTATTATTATACTATTTTAGTAATATTTTTTTCATTTTATCAAGAATTTTAATAAAATATTTAATTGTTTATTAAAAACTATAAAAAATAATTAAAATTAGAACAATTATTTTAATTTAAGTATTTTTAATTTATTAAGTCATTTTATTTTTATTAATAACCTATTTTTTTATTATTTTTAATCATAAATATTTTAAAATATATTTTTAATTTAAAAAAATTTAAATATAATATATTATTTAAAATTATAATTAAATATGATATATTATTTTAAAATTATTATATATGCTTTTTTAGTTTTATGAAATAAGATTTAAAATATAATTTTTAAATATATAAATTATATAAATGAAAAGTTATATAAATTTTATATATTTTTCTAATAAATTAAAATATATAATAATATTTATAAAGAATAAAATACAAAAAAAAACTTTAAATAATTTAAATTTAAATTTAAAATAATTAAAGATACCTACCTATTATATCAAAAAAAAAAAAACTTAACAAAAATTTTTTAAGTTATTAAAATATTTCTTTTATTTTGTAATTTATTTTCTTTTTACTGCAAAATATTTATTTATAAATTACAAATTTATATATATAATTAAATAATAAATTCAAAAAATAAAAGTATAATATTTATAAAATTAAAATAGAAATTGTTATAAGTTTAAACTAAAGATGTCTTTCAAAACTCCCTTAAATAATTTCATTATATTTCTTACTATGTTTTTAATATAATTTTGACTAATTTTAAGTTTTAGATTTTGTCATACCTTCACTATAATTTCAATTATTTATTAATTACTTTTTTAGATTTCATACTTATTTATAGTTTGAACATATTAGTTAATATAATATGAAAGCTATGCTATTAAAAGTGAGTTACAAGACTAATAAATTAATTTTGAGTAATTAATGATCAAAAAATAGTTATGTTACAAATAAATATACTTAGCTAATAAAAATTGCATAAAAAATCAATTAATTAATAAGGTAATACTTTAATTTTATATTATACTATATAACATTTTATTATAATAATTATTAATTATTTGTTGATTATTTCTAAAATTTAAATTGATTATTTCTATAAAAACTAATTTTATACAGAAATTTAAGCATTTTGTTAGCCTAATTGCTTTCTTTATTAATAAACTAATAACCTCTAAAAATTTAACCAAATAAAGTAAATAAAGTTCATTTAATATATTATAATATAAATCAAAATTCTTATTTTTTGCTAATAAGTTCCTGTAACTTTTTTTAATATCATAACTTTTATATCATTAATTTATCTAAATATTGACATAATATAATAACTATATAAAGTTCAGATTTTTATATTAAATTCAAAAAATATAAATCTTAAATTTTATTTCAAATAAATAAAATAATTAATAATATTTTAATATTAAATATGTGGGAGCTGATTAAGGTTGCTAGATGAAATCAAAACTTTAGACAGTCGTCTAAATAATAAAAGTAAACTTGGTTAAATTATATTAAAACCTTATTAAAAAATTTGCGAAATTTGGAAAAAGGTAAAACTATATCAAAGCTTATAAAAATGGCGAAACTATATCAAACTCTTAATAAATATTTAGCGAAACTAAAAGTTTTACCATTTTGCCAAATCCAAAATGAGTTTAAACAAGCAACTTTAGCGCTGATCTATTAAAAATAGGTTACAAGACTAATAAATTAATTTTGAATAATTAATTATCAAAAATAGTTACGTCACAATAAATATACTTAACCAATAAAAAATTGCACTAAAAATAATATATTATCTAATAATTTTATATATATAACATTTTATTATAATTTAATAAACTAATATCCTCTAAAATTTATTTAATATATTATAGCATGAATCAAAAATCTCATTTTTGTTGAAAGATTCCTATAACCTATTTATAATAGCACAGCTCTCATATTATTAAAAATATTATATTAAATAATTATATTTTATATTAAATAATTGTATTTTATGAAAATTTTTAAAATATGCATAATAATTATAATAATTATATAATTTTAATTATTAAATACTGATTTTATATTCAAATTTTTTTATATTAAATAGTATTTTTAAATAGTAATAATTTTGAATATATTTAAATTTAACTTTAATTAATACAGTTCCTGCTAAAAGTAATGGAAATGGGAATGTTAAATTATTATTTGATCGTTATATTTCTGGTATTCCTATTTGATCTATTATTAATTAGGCTGATTTAGACAATACAATGCTAATTTAAATAAAATAAACAAAAAAATCCAATCTTAATATTATTTGTTTATTTTTACTTGACTTAAATTACCACTATATAAAATCTTGTCAATATATATCAAAGCAAATTATGAAGTCATAAAATATTTTTGGGATAAAAATGTCCATAATGCAAGGAAAATTTCTAGCAGAACTGAAGTTCCTTTACATTCTTGTGAACAATATGTTACTATTTTACGAAAAAATAGCAATATTTCAGAAATTCATTGATTTGATCACCCACAAAAATTAATCCCGCAAAATGTCATTATGTCAGAATAATCATTAAGCATAATCATTTCACTACAGCAGGAAAGTTAAAGCTATATTAAAAGAAAATGATTCAGAATTAGAAATTGATAAAATAACAATTTGTCAAGAACTTTCTAGGCTTGGTTATATAGCAGTTTTTTTGCGAAAAGTTCCTCTTTTAACCTAAAAAGTGAAAGACATTCATTTGTCTTAAACTCATGACTATCTGCGATATGATTGAAAAAGGTGATTATTTCTGATAAAATAACAATCCAAATATTTCGTAATACAACTCTTACATAGTTCTGATATGAAAATCCAATTTAACATATAGTCAGAATTGGGAAGTACAGTATTAATACAATGATTAGTACAATTAATACAATTAGTACATTATAATAATTAATATAAAAATTAGTATAAGTACAGTACAAGTACAGTGTTAATTTTATCTAGTACATACAAAATTCCCAACCCTGCCTATAGTTAAGCATTCTTATAAAGTGCATATTTGAGCTGCAATCATTGTTAAGAAAAATTTGGCATATGTTTACTGAAAATCTTGATCGTTATTTGTATCACTGAATACTTGATGATCAGCTTTATAATAATGCAAATGAAATATTAAATCATTGCTGGATTTTTCAGCAAGATAATAACCTGAAACACAAATCCTATAATGTTTAAAGAGATTTGAAAGCTCATCTTCTGAGTCGAGTTCTTCCATAACCATCTTATAGTCTATATCTTAATTCAATTAAAAATATTTTGGCAATTTTAAAAAGAAAAATTAAGATAAAGATTAAGAAAATAGTGGCATAAAAAAAAATATCTATTAATTTTTTTTAATGTAATTCAAGAAGAATAGGATGATTTTGACGATGATGTAATAGTTAACTACATCAATAGCATGTCAAATCAAATTATAGTATGCATTGATATAGAAGGAGTATATATTAAATACTAATTATTTAATAAAAGTTGCAGCTATAATATTCATATTTTATTTAAAAAAAAATTTATTGGGTTTATTAATAAATTGCATGTGTTAAGTTAAATAAATTGACTGCCATTACTTTTGATAAAGACTGTAAGTAAAATTCCTTTTAAATTTGAAAGTAAAACTATTGAAAAGATAATTTTTAAAGATTATAATTTATAATAGTTTATATTTCTGGTATTAATAACTTCTCTGTCATATTAATCATATTCAATCATAAATTTTATAATAATTTTATTATAAAATATTTTTAAACACATTCAAATACATTCAGTCTTAATTTATTAATAGTTTAGGAATTATAAAATTAATTATAATTGGTTATCCCAAAAACTTTGACTAGCTGATATTAATTTTAATTATAATTAATTATGATTATAATTAATAATATTTTTTATATGTTACAAATTATGTAATTTAATTTACTATATTCTATATAGATTTTAATAACTTATATTTTATATAAATAGATATTAGTGAATTGTTAATAGAATATATTTTTGATTTTGATATTAATTATAAAATTGGCTAATCAATTTATATCAATTTATATTAGTTGATAATAATATAACAAATAATATTTAATCAATATTTTTTTACTTTTAAATAAAAATTTTTAAGTTTTAATAAAAAAATCAATATTAAAGAAACTCATATTTAAATAATCTGAATATATTATATAAAAATAAAAGATAAATATTTTTATATATAATTATAAATAAAGATTTAAAATTTCAAAAAAATATAATAGTTAATTTTATTAGATAAATTCTTTTTTTATAATAATATAATTGAAATTGTATTTAATAATTTTATTTATATATTAGTCATATATAAAATATTATTATAACAAAACTGCTTATAATATTTAAATTTGTGTAAATGTGAATATTTTTATAAATTATTTAATTAATTTACTTAATAATAAATTACTAATTATAAAATAAATAGTTTTAAAATAATTTATAATTAATAAGATAAATATTGATAATTATTATATTAATCACTATTTTTATTTTACAAATTAGCAAATATATAATAATTTCTTAATACAAATATTTTTAGAAATACAAAGCAATTTTTACTAATATAAAAATATTTTTGAAATAATATAAATATTTTTACTAATATTTTTTTAACAAAAAATATTTTCAATTTATAAATGCATTTTTATTAATATTTTTTAATAAAGTTTTTTAAATCACTAATATATTTTTTATTAATATTATTTTAGTAAAAAATAATTTAAAGTAATAAATGTCTTTGATATTGCAAATGCAATTTTTATTAATACTTTCTTATATTTCTAAAATTATATAAATTATGGTTTTATTCTAAATTACTAAAAATTAGTTTTAGTTAATAAAACTAATTTCAGTAGTTTAGTTATTAACTAAACTAGTTTTAATACTTAAATAAATAAGTTTTGATAAGTCTAAATTATAAAAGTTTAGTTTTGAATAATAATATTATTATTTATGCATTTTTTTACAAATATTTTTTAGTAAAAAGTATTTTTAAAATTACTGATACATTTTTATTAATATTCTTAATAAAAATAATTCTTGAATAACAAATATATTTTTCTATTGATAATTTTAATAAAATTATACAATATAATTTATTATTATTTTCTTTGTAAAAGTTAACTTTGAAAATATATTTATTAATTTATTCTTTATAATATTTTATATAAAATATTTAATTATATATTTTAAATTTTTTTATAAATATCTTCTGAATTTGTATATCCCATATCCTCAAGAGGCGAATCCTATTCCTATTATAAATGCCTTACTGTTACCATTAATACTATTATTGAAACTACCATCAGTACTATTATTATCACCACTATTACTGAATTAATCACTGATACTACTATAGGTATTATTATTATCATTATTAACACTATCACTACCACTTAGGGTCTTCAACTTCTATAAGCACTATTATAAATATTTAATTTAATAATTTAATTTAATCAAATATTTAATTTGATTTAATTTTATTTAAAAATTTTTTTTTTTTTTTACAAATAATCAATGTTTTTAACTTTTTAAATTTTAATAAATTTTTATATTTATTAAAAAATTATTATTATTAAAAAATTATTTTTTTAATATTATTTTTATCAAATAAAATTATTATTTTATCCAATATATTATTTTAATAATAATTCTTTAGCTTTTTATTTTTAACTTTATTTAAATTTTTATTTAAATGTCATAATTTATTAATATAATATAAATTTATATTATAATAATTAAAAATATAATTAAGTATATTCAATATAATTAAAATACTAACTTAGATTAATAAAAATTAACTTTAATTTAATCAAATTAGATTTGATAAGTTTAATATATAAAAATTTAGTTTTAAATAATAATATAAATATAGCTAATTAAATTTAAGATGATACATGTTTTTAAATATTATTTTAAAATTTTTTTTTTAAATTAAATTTTATTTATATTATTCAATATTTTATTTTTTTTTAATAAGTTTATTTATTTATAATATTATATCTTATTAAATTTTAATTATTTTAATTATTTATTTATTAATTTTCTAATAGTAAATTTTTTAATTTTATTAATCTTAATTTTATAGCAAATTAGTTCTTTGAAAATAATTAGATTAGGTTTAAAAATCTATCCTAATTTAAATATAAAATTGATTTTAAGTTAGCCTTATATAGTAATACCTGCTTAAACACTTTTTTGAAAAATTGTAGTTTCATCAAAAGGTTTCGTCTCTTTAATATTTTTATATGAATAAATATAAAATTATTATATTTTTTAATGTATTTTAATTCAAGGAATTTAGATCAAGTTAATATAATTTCGGCAATTAAGTAAAATAATTTTTTCATTAATAAAAAACTAGTTTTGTCATTTCAGTTTCGTTAATTCCTTCATATTAAGAAAGGTAATTTCGTCAGGTATCATTAGCATTATATAACTTAAATTTAATATAACTTAATCTGAACTTTATAAATAATATTATACTAAAAATCAAATTTTATAAATAAAAATTATTTATTGTTTAACGTTAATAATATTACTATTTAAATTTATTTAATAATATTTTGTTTTATATTTAGAATAATTCTAATTTAAAATTTAAACTAGTGATATTAAACAGTTTTAAACAGTTTTAAAAACGAGAAGAATATTAACATCATATTTATTTATTTTTTAATAATATTGTATTAATAGAATATTTATTAAGAATGTTTATTATATATTTAAGTGTTTTATAAAATTAAAAAAAAGGAAATAATATGAAAAACTAATAAAATCAAATTATAAGATAGTATATCAAATGTTATTTTCCTAATAATGCTCCAAATATATTAATAATAATAGAAAAAGCATTTATTAAATTTTAAAATAACATGTATCAGAACATTTTACAATTTATATACATAAATTTATATGTAAAAATATAAGATTGTATAATACCTAATTTTTGTATTTTAATTATTTAGAGATAAAATATATTTATTTTATATTTTATTTTTATTTTTGATTTATGGATTTTTAACTAAAAAAAAAAAATTTTTTTTTCACCGGCCTTTTAACTATAGAAACTTCGTTCCCTTAGAAACGGTAGTTTAAAGATTTCTTTTTATTCTAATAATGAAATATTATTTATTTTATTAAAAACGATAGCAATATTTTACATATTTTACGATAACGAAAATCGGGCGAATGTCAAATCACAGAAATTTGATGAAAAGGAACAGAGTTTATTAAAAAATGTAAAAAAATACGACTATTCCTCAGTCGGCGCTCTTTATAGGCATTTAGAGAAGAGAATCCATCTATTCAATCTATTCAAACTCAATGCAAAATAAATTCTTTTTAAACAATGCCTTCGTTACGAAATTCCCTCCAATGTGAGATGATTGTTTGTATTGTTTTCGGAAAGTTTGTATGGGTGTTGCACGTAGTTTGGAGTGTTTATCAATTATAAACAAGGAAAAAATGTAAGCAGAAGGTTTGTTTATATTGAAAGATTTTATTAACAGCGACGGAATTTAAATAAGACACAACGCAAATAAAGTATTGCCTCAATCGTCGGATCAGATGCGTTTATTTTATTAAATATTCGTTATCGTTTAATTTCTATTTTCTAGGAACACGTCCACGAAACATAATGGCCGGATGACATATTGGCCAGGGGACATTTGGCCGGTAGACAATTTGCCCAGGAACTAATAGAACATGTTGACTAACAATTAATCTTTGTAACATGGGCTATATAATTAATAAATAAAAGATAATTTCTAATGTAAACGAAAATCGCGTCGGATATAAACGATTTTAAAAAAATACTAAAACTCTACTTTTTAATCTGCTTCTTTACATTCCTTCAAAGCGAAAATGGCATTTATAAATAATTAATATATTGTGAGAAAAGATTTTTTTTTATTTTCAGGAAAAAAGTTGAATACAATTATAATTATAAAAATAATTATAAGAATCAAATGAAAAATTTGGAGTAAATTCATTCAAGGGACACCAAAACAATACAAAGTAATAAGGCATTGGTACTTAATAATTAATAACTTTCAGAAGTATTTAAATTTTTCCTCACGTGCTTTCCTAAGATATATAAATCCTTTTTTTTTACTTTAAAAACTTCAATTTCCTCCGGGATAAATTTAATACTCGTTGAATGTATACAATTCTCATCATAATAACCTGTATTTTTTACAAATTTAACATATTGACTATTCATATCGATATATAACGTATCACCAAAATTAAATCTATTATAACATTCTTTCTCCGATTTATCGTTGTACGTGTTATTTCGGTAAATTTTTTTAGGGGTTTTAAAACGACTTACGTTCATGTTTGTAATATCTTTGCCAATTTCAAAAGAAAATATAAAACTTTCACTTGCAAAACATTCTCTTCCACCAAGTGGATTATATCCTCCATAAATTTTTGCTGAAGACTTTTGTTTGACTAAAACTATAAATGGATCTTGATCATTGAACATTTTTTGAAATGACTGATCATTGAGTCCATCTCGACTACTACGATAAAGAAGTACGAATTCATATCTATTATCGGGTATCCATTTTTTTTTTCGATCCAACTAACGATTGTATCAACGAACTTTTGTTTGATAAGATTTGATCTAATTACATTGCGAAAACGTTTTGGTAAGACATTCGTTTTTGGTAAAGTTTGCTTCATGTGAAATTCTATTATTTCTTCGTAAATTTGTTGAGGAATAACAGATCTATAAGGACGAACTTTATCGAAAAAATCCGCAGAACCAATATCTGAAAATCGAATAAGAGGAATAAATTGTTCTAAGGTCATTTTCAACGCTTCGTAACACTTGTCATCCCACTTAGCTCTATCGCTATTCGAACTTCCTAAACAAGAGGTTTGATCGACACCCCATTTAATTAAATGATCCCACGCAACATCTTCTTCAATCTGTAAGTCGTCTCGTTTAAACAAGCTATGAAGAATATCTTTTTCAAGAGATGTAAATTCTTTTGAAGTGATAAATGGTAAAGGATCCGCGCAGATGGAATCAAGGCAATAACCTTGAAGTTTCTTGCAACTAGCAAGTTTAAAAGCCGTATGAAGAACAAGAACGAGATTTTGATGAACCCATAATTTTTCTTTTTCAATTAAATAATTTTGAACATGGTTAAATAATACTTCAAGAAGCAGCTCATCAGAAGCAACTAAGAGACCAAGGATATCTATACCCGAATTATTGGATAAATTCACTTCGCCAATATAAATATACCTTTTGTATAGGGTTGGAAAATTAGTCATATTGAAAAAAAAATTTTTTTCTTTCATTAGAAAAATTACTTACTTGAGAATAATCTCGAAAACGGTGGGATGAATATTTGGCTTTTTGAACTCGATCATATTATTATCCACTATTTTAATCCAATTGGTCGAAAGTGCACTTTTGAAATACGGTGAACGAGCCCTTAGGATATTTGAATGTGCATGAAACTCTTGATTCTCACCGACTTTAATAATGATATTATAATCCTCTGCAGCTTTTAACATTAATGAGAGATCTTGTGAAAGATCGGTATGAAATTTTGAAACCATTGTGAAAAGAGAAATGAAATATACGAATTAAATGAAAAGTTATAAGAATATTTATTACAATTTTAATTTGTAATACACTCATTCTATTGTGAAAAATGGTCTGTTACCAAGATGACAAATAATTTATCAATTGATATCAACTGATTTAGGATAAATTACATAAACAACAATAATGATCATAAGAAACGTAAATAAGATTACATCCTTAAATATTTCATCGATCGTCAACGTCTTAATGACGTGGAAATTCAAATCACGATTAATTGACTTTTAATTTTATTTGGTGTTAAAATTCTGTTTCTTTTTATTGTCAAAGAATACACGTTATTGCGTTTTTCAATTTCAATTTAGTTAAAGACGTTCTTTGAATGTAAATTAAAACATTTCTTTTTGTTATGACCAATCAAAATTCGATGGTCGTTTAAAATATAATCGGTTACACAAAGATTTATTATGTCAACAACACCACGAACTTAGGAAGTAGAAAGACGACATTTGACATGAAATAGAAAACATACAGAATTTTCTTAAGCTTTTATTTTCTAATTAAGAACACAAAATTTGCTTATAATAGTAAATACGACTTTGTCCGATTTTTGATTTTCAAAACTGGAATAGAAAATTTTTAGCAGCCGATTAATCGTCTTAACTCTTGAATGTTGCCGGTTCGGCTACCTGACCCTGCGCAAATTCCTAAGATAAATAAAGAAAGGTTTGTGAGATTCATACAAAAAAGTCCTTGAATTCAAAAGAATGACAATATCATATACATACATTATCGCATAAAACGTTGAAAATTTCCATTTCTGTGATAGTAAATCTATCAATATCTAAAATGCTATTTTCATAATATTTTCTAACGCATGTGCCTTGCATATTATTATAAATAACCAAATCGCTATTACCAAAATTCAATGCATTGGTCAAACATATCGCTTTATTGTTATTTACGACTCGGCTAATCGTGAAATTTTTAAAATCCTTTCCATTTCTATCACATGAAGAAAAAATAAAACTTTCACTAGTATTAACCCAATTTTCTTGCCGACTTATTAATGTGGCTTTACGAGGACTTGGTGAATAACAATTCCAACCAACTGGATTATATCCACCAATTATGGTATCTTTTTCTTTAATTTTAATGATCAGAATACATGCTCCCTTATTATTACATTTATTACGAATAGTATTGATATCTTGGCCTTTGCTTTCACGATAGATAAGATCAAAAGAATACTTATTATCCTTTAGAATTCTTGCATTGGCTTTTATCCTATGGATCCAGCTGGCAAGAATGGCTGCATGATTCGGATTAATGATGGATGATTCAATTTCAACTTTTCCACCACGAGGAGCTAGAATCATTTGTCTAGGTTTAGCATTTGCCAAATGAAATGACAAAATATCTTCAAATAGTTCTTCAGGTATCACTTTCTTAAAGGGCCGAACCTTATCATTAAAATCTTTTGAAGAGATTTCGAAGAATCGAATATGCACAATGAATTGATTCAAAGTATTTTCCAAAACGATGAAATCCTTTTCATTCCAATCGCTTAAATCAACCATGTCCTTTTCTCTCAATTCCGTTTGAATAATTCCCCATCTTATAAGGTAATTCCACAATTCAATTTCCTCAATAAGTAAATCCTCACTTTTAAGTAATCCAAATATAACACTCCCGTTCAGTGATGAATAATTTGAACGCAAAAAAGGTTCGGGATCTTTACGGATAAGCTTTAAACAGTAATCTTGGAGTTGCTTGCAAGTTTCCAATTGAAATGCTGTGTTGATAACGTTAATAAAGTTTTGTTGTTGTAACCATTCAGTTTGGTTTTTAATCAAATACTTTTGTGTAAAAGAAGTTAATTCTTCAAGGAGTAATTCATCAGATATTACAAGAAGATCAAGAATATCAGTGCCAGTTTTACCATTTAAATCAAGAGTTCCAGTATAAATATATCTAAAACCAACGAACCAAAAGAATAATTCAAATTATCATTTCAATATAAATTATTATTAATGGGACGGTCCATCCTAAATAAATGTTTTTACCTGATAATCATATCAAAAATGGTAGGAGTAGTATTCGGTATATTAAGGTAAATCATATTATCTTTCTTCGTAACCCAGTTCTTTGAGAGAGCGCGATTAAAATAAAGTGATCGAGCTCTCAAGATAGTTGAGTGTGCATGAAATTCTTTAACTGCACTTTCTCCAACTTTGATAATGATATCATAATTGTCTGCATCTTCAAGCAATTGAGAAAAATGTTGCGTAAAATTAGGAAGAAATTCAAATAACAACGTCATTAGAATTTATTTTTTTTTACAGATTCGCGAGAATTTTTTTTAAAAAAAAAAAATTACTCGTAATTATTTATATAATTTGTATATTACAATACAATACAGTATTGTTCCGACAGATGTTTTGACATAAAAAATACGCAATTCTGGCCGATCTTTTTCTTTGTAATAGATGGTTAAAACTTCGACCGAAATTAAGATGTTGGCCATAATTAATTAATTTGCTAACTCTGGCGGATCAATGTTTTTTTCTATGGGCGTTTATGTTAATTTGAATAGAACAATCAAAAACAAAGAAATTTTAGATTACTTTTATATAATTAAAATTGACGTAATAACATAGTAATAAATGATGATAACGTAACGCGTGATAAATATCTGAAATTTGCGACAGGTTACACTAATTATATAGTTAAATGCAAGTGGATCGATCATTTTGAAAAATGAGGTTATGTCAAATTCTACATCCTACAGAACCATAAAGTTCAAACTAAAAATTTTTCGCCTGATGCACATGTGCCGATTAATTTGTCGATCATTTCCAAAAAGTATTTAAAGTACAATATTTGAACTATTTTAATTTTTTAAATTGACAATCGACACGACACGCGTACACTTTCTTAATTTTTTTGATCATGACTTCAATTTTACATTCCAGCCTTTCAAAAGATTTTTCCTTATTATTAGACGAATCTGACGATTACAATGTCATTATTCAAGTTAGTGAAGGTCAAAGTATGAAAGAATTTCGTGCACACACAGTTATTTTACGGGCACGTTCACGATATTTTAAAGGCGCGTTTTCTGCTGAGTGGCTTCAAAAGGATATGAATGATAATACGATAATTTTTTCTAAACCAAATATTTCTCCAACTACTTTTGAAGTTATTTTAAAGTTGGTTAAAAAAAATTATATATATTATTTTTTGTTTGTGTATCAAAGTGAAAAAAAAATCTTAATAAAAATTTCTTTTCTTCAAGGTACATTTACGCAGGAGAACTTGAACTAGAAAATCTTTCAGGTGAAGATACCCTCGGATTATTAATCGCATCTGATGAATTATTGTTTGAAGAAATTTTCAAACTTGTTCAAGATCACTTGATTTTAAAGCAAACTAGTTGGGTTCAACAGAACTTTATTTCAGTTTTTCATGCCGCATCTAGAATTATTAGCTGCCAGAAACTGAAAGATTATTGTCTTGATTTAATCTGTGAAAACCCACAAACATTGCTCACCTCGAAAATCTTACCATTGCTAGATAAAGACATCTTTTTTGGTTTGCTTAAGAGAGATGATTTACTTATTAATGAAACTGTTGCTTGGGATCGTTTAGTCGAGTGGGGCATTCAATGGACTCCTGAATTGAAGATAAAGAATAGTAATAGAGCAGAGTGGGATCAAGAGAAATTTGAAGCATTGAAGGAAACACTGGATCCATTCATACCCCTAATTCGATTTGCGGAAATTCCTCCCGCTGATTTTTTTGATAAAGTACGTCCTTATAGGGCGGCAATTTCTTATCAGACTCTTGAAAAAATTGAAGAATATCATTATAAAAAATCTTTTAAAACAACAATTTTGCCGACTCGCGTAGCAAACTTAGAATCTTCAATCATTAGGCCAAAGCTTGCGACTATTATATCTAATTGGATTGAGAAAAATGATTCAAATATTTTTTCATCTAATAATAAATATAGGTTCGATTTGATTTACTCAAATACTCGGGATGGTTTTGATTGTCAAACATTTAATACTAAATGTAATGGGCAAGGACCGTTTGTAGTATTGATAAAGGTTCAATCAAAGGAAATCTTTGGGGGATATAATTCGATCGGTTACGAATTAAGAAATGGGAAATGGTTATGTTCTTCGGACAACTTTATCTTTTCTTTTGAAAATGATCAAGATTCGCGTAATATGAAACTTGGTAGAGTAATTCATGCAAATAGATCTCATTATGAGCATTGCGATGAATATTTCATAAACTTTGGTGATAGTTTGTATATTGAAGAAAGGCAAAAACTTTACTTACGTAAAAATGGAAATTATATCAATATTCGGAATAATGTTAGTTGTACTATGCCGATTGAAGAAATCGAAGCCTTTAGTGTAGAAATGAAATAATAATGATTTTTTTGATTCTAAAATAAATTGTAATAAAATTTATTTTGAAACCATTTATATTTTGACTTTGAGTTAAAAGGTGTATTCTATCTAATTTTTTTGATGATGAGATGATGGGAAAATCAAATAAAAATTATTATAATGCATTTTATCCGTACATAGAAAAATTTTAAAATCTGACCGTTTCCTAAATTCCAGTTATTTCGCGGTTAATATTCGCGCTAATCCCATAGTGTAATTCCTAGATATTGTTTTCTTTTCAACAGTATAAGGGCATCATCAGGATTCATGATTCACAGAATGTCGTGAATATGACTATAAAACCTTTAAGGAGCGAGAAGAAGGAATTATTCCTTAAATAATATTAATAAAGGTTACATGTAGATAGGTGTTGTGGCTGATGGTTTGATAACAAGTTGGTATGATAGACAGAAATATCAACTAATTAAAATTCCAAGACAACATCAGTTTCAGATTTTAATGTTATCATGAGAATTTGAGAGTAGGAATTGCGCATCAAAATATGAAAGAAATCAGATTCGTATGAGTTAAGGCAATTAATGATAAATGAAGTAATATTTGTGTCTATGAAAAACGTCCTGTACATAATTAATGGAATATCTTGAATAAAAAAGTAATATATTTTACATCATTTTTTTAATATGTATTAGTATTATACACACAGATTAAAAAAATTGTTTAATATGTTATTTATAAATTTTTTAATTAATAACAATTTTTTGGGCATTGTGTCTTCAGAAATAAAATAATTATTAAATAAAACCAGTAACACATTTTAAAAATAATATCACAAATACTAAAATGCTATTTGATTACTTTTTAATTTTTTTTTTAAATAAATTAAGAAAATAAAAGTAATTTATATATAATAAAGTTATGATTTTTTATTTAATTAATTATCAATCCTATATATTATGCAAGTATAATTTGTTACATAGATAATGCTTTTTTTTTTTAATAATTTTTTAAAAATTGAGGATTTTATACAAAAAATTGATTAAAATATTTAATTTTAAATATTTAGAAATTAAATATAATTAAATCTTTTAAGTTATATATTTTTATATATTAAATTAGAATTTATTAGTTAAAGTAATTCAGATTTTTTAATTTTTATTTATATAAATTAATTATTATATTTATTTATTAATAATATTTAGATTTAATTCTTTATAAAACATAAATTATTAATTAAAATTAAATAAATTAGATATATGTATAGAAGTTTTGCAATAAAAAGATATGATATTCTAAAAAAAATTTTTAAATTAATTTATTTTACTAAAAAAATAAAAAAATCATATTCACTTATAAAGTAAAAATTTAATTTTTTTAGTTTTATAAAGTGTCTATATATAAACATAATTTATTATATTAAAATTTTATTTAATCAAAATTATAGAATGCTAAATATATGATTTAAATAACTAAAAATTAGTATATAAAATCCGAGTTAAAATTATATATACAAGTTGATAAATTTATCATTAAATTAAAAAAATCATAAAAATTTATATATAAAATTATTTTTTTATACATTATTTTTCTATTTTTAGTAATAATTTATGTATATTTTATATTATGTAATATATATACAGTCCTTAGGACCTAAAAAAATAGTGTGATTATAAAAATACTATATAGTGTAACTAAAATGAGTAACTTAGACTAACATAAATGTACTTATAAAAGGAAATGGCACTATATCTGGATGATTATGGGGAAGTCGACTGTATATAAAATTTAATATGCATATATATATATTATGCATATAATTATTACAAACTATGATTTTATTGATATTATAATAAAATTTTTAAATATTGTTATTAAAATAATTAATAATTTTAATCTAAGATTATATTTAAATAAATTCTAAAATTAATATAAAAATAATATGTAAAACTTTTTAACTATAATTTAAATTATTATTTCTTCAATAGTTTTTCTTTCAAATTTAAAAGGAATTTTACTTATACTTTAAAGTTAATTTTAAATATATTAAAAATTAGTTATTAAACTAATAATATTATTATAATAAAATTTATGATATTTTTTTAAGTAAAATCAAAAAAAAAATTACATTAATTAGTAACTTTTTGCATTAATATAAGTTCAAAGTTTTAAATATATTTTAATAAAAGTATTTTCTTTATAAAGCTGAAATTTTTAATTTTTAATTATTTATATTATATTAAATAAACTTTACAAATATATAAATTTATTTAAAACATTTATTTATATATTTAAATATTATATTTATTTATAAAAAAAATCATAAATTTAAAGTTGAAAATTTTGTATATATTTAATATTTTAATTATTAAAAATGAAATTTTGTTTAAAAATAATAGATTATAATAAATTTTATAATATATTTTAACTAAAAATTAAAAAAAAATTGTAAGTTTTTATGTAAAATTTTGCATAATAATTGATTAAAAATCATGACTAAATTTGAATGAAAATTATTACTATTTAAGGGATTTAAGGGATACTATTTATTGGTATTTTAAGGGTCTTCCTATTTATAGTTCTTAATTTATATACTCTATTGTCAAGATCAACATAAATGTAATACAGTCTCTTTTATTGATCTTTAAGTTTCTTTTTATTATGAATATTACTTTTATACATTAAAACTAAGTCTTCTATTTTAAATGCTAGTATTTTTAACAGCTTTCTATTATGTCATTCCTTTGTTTTCATTGAGATTTCTTAATATATGACTATACCTCATTAATTTTATAATCTATCCTTTCTATTATTTATCTTATATTGTTTAATAAATCTATTATATTATCTGATATTTATAAAATTTGAGTAGTTATTATTTGTACTTGAAATTTTATTAGCAGTGTAGCTAGGGTTCTGCAATTCGATTTGATATTTGAATATTTGATTTAATTCAATCAAATTCAAATCAACGAATGATTTATTTGATCAAATCTAAATTAATATTTGATTTGATTTGAATCAATAGTAAAGCTATTAGGAGTGGCTCTTACTAAAAAAAATCATAGTAAAAAGTGCCTTCACAACTTTGAAAATGCCTTTTTTACTAAGAAAACCATAGCAAAAAATGCCTCTGTAGCTTTAGAAATGCCTTTTTTACTAAGAAAACCATAGTAAAAAGCACTTTCACAGCTTCAGAAATGCCTTTTACTAAGAAAAATATAGTAAAAAACGCCTTCACAGTTTTAGAGAAGTTTTTTACTAAGAAACCTAGTAAAAAACACGTTTACAGCTTCGAAAACATTTTTTACTAATGAAATTGTTACAAAGCTGAGATGGCAGTTATTACTAAGTT